GTGAATCCACTAGAAATTGATTTCGTAATTACGTTTAGTTATACAATTATGAAAACGAAATATATCATTGTGCTGTGATATAGGTATATTTCATAAYGTCGTTGATCGTCATCGACGATAGACCATTTTCCGAGTAAATATTCAATATTTTTTTATACTAAAATATATTTTTCAAGTCAATAATTATGCTTATATGTTATAGCTACGACATTATTGGTACCGTATCAACTGTCATTGACGATAACCGTTTCTTGGGAAAAAATAACCATTATTTTGCTAGAAATAAATGAAAACAAAATCCAAATACACCATTAAAAAATAGATATCCCCAGGGTGGAGGGAAGTTTTTAGCACTGAATTCAACGTTGAAATCTATGAAAAAATGAAAGCAAATTCCGTTCACCTACTCCTTCGCCTCAAAATCCAGATTTACTATAGTAAGTATAATATAGTTATATTATAGTATATTATAGTAAAATATTAATATTCAACATTTTAATTTGTATTCAGATATACGCACAAGGTACAACATAAGTGTTGTAATCCGTAATTTTTCAAGTAATATGAATTCCACTATAGGTGATGTCAGGATAATTTAAATTAAAAATAAAAGTTTAATGCCTACCTATTTATTATGATATAATATATAAAACACTGATTTTATAATATGATCATAATATTGTGTCTTCTATCAAAGAACTGGCGGTAATTACATCGAATTTTTTTATTTTTAGTGTATACATTATTTGACTGTAGCAACAACGTATATTATGTAAGTATATGCGAATTTATATGTTCAATGTATTGCAACATAATATACGGAGCCTTCAAGTATTCTTTCGACATATTTATATTATAAAAAGGTTTGGAAGTAACTTTATTATAAATAATGTTGTTTTCTCGTGTATGAAACTACATTAACCTGTCAATTATTTTTCCATACTAACCCTATGAGCGTAAACGATTTAATCTTGACATTATTTTTAAAGTAGGTTGATATATTCTAGATTGGCATTATATTTGTATAAAAAATGTAAAAACGAAATGCCAATTTGGAATTTAATGTATAAATTTTTAAATAAAATATCAATACAAATCGTGCCTACTTTAAAAATAATGTCAAGATTAAATCGTTAACGCACATAGAGTTGGCATGGAAAAATAATTGACAGGTTAATGTATATTTGTATACACGAAAGAACGTAAAACTTTTTTTCGAAATAAAAGAATTTGAAAAGCTTGTTCTTATTATTTTATACGGTGAAAAGAAAACTTTACTGAATAAGATTAAAAATAAGGTATCTAAAATCACAGGCTATACTATGTGCGAAAYAAATTTATTTCGTTAGAATTGATCTCAAACCGAAACTTTTGTATACTTGGACATTTTTAGTAAGAAAAAACGTGACGGTTCACACGGTGAGATTATTATTATTTTTTTAATACGTGATTTATATGTTCTCCAATGACATCATAAATAACTCTGTAATGGAAACTTTGAGTGTTTTAAAAAAAAAAGAAATGAAGAAAATGGTTACGTCCTTTTTTACCGTTGTTAACAAATAGCTTGATAATTTCATACTGTTGAATTAAAATAATAAACCAGCTAATTTGTATGTTTAACTAAAAGATTTAAATAATAATATTTTTCGGTAACAATATACAGGGTGATTTGACAAGCTTGTCCCCAATTTTCTTTTAATAATAATGTTTCTGATTTTTGGAGTTTTTTAAGAAAATTTAAGAATCATATTTTAAAATACATTGATACTATTAAAACAGTATCTTGGGGCTGATAAAAAACGTATTTTTCCTATAAAATGTGAGTTAGATATTTTTTAAAACTCTAACTAGTAATTTTTTAGTTAGCTGAAATTTTGTACTGTGGATAACAGGYAGAGGATAATTGATTGAAAGTTTGAAAACTATGTAGGTTAAAATGATTTTAAAGTTTTTGTTATTTATATTAGTCCCATAAATCTTTTATATTTGTTAAAATTGTTTGAATATAACTAGTACTAGAATTATGTCAGGTTGTGTGAAAAATTGGTTAATTTAATCGTAGGCCACTAAATCATGTTTAAAGGACATTAGATTACTATTGATTCATTTAATGTTCAGTGATTGTTCTCGCAATCCATCATGAGTATCACGTCTATTTTATATTTTATGTAAAACTATTATAACGGATTATTATCCTTAAAATTAGATAYGACATCGTAAATTAATAAAAAAAACATATTTTAAGATATTTCATTATAAAAGGGAGGTTTTTATTTGAAAAAATGTAGGTAGGTAACTCTATTGCAACAGAATATATAGATTCTCTGCAGTTACTGATCATTTTCTTGCTTATCTTTTTTTGATGCAATGATATAGATTGACGTTACCAAATTTCGTATTGTTATATTACTTGTCATTCAGTATCTATCCTGTGTATGCAATCGAACAAAATTGTTAATCAATCTTATGGACATCAGCTCGTGTATTTATTATTATTATTATGATTACCTACAACTGCAACTAACTACGTTTATATGTAGCATAAAGAATGTAATTTGTGATAACTGATTTACATATTCTGTTAATGGAAATAGCTAATCGTACATTTTATTTTCATTTTTTATACATTGTGTACTTAAATTGGAATTATTATAGTCTAAACACTCTAAACTATTAAGTAGTGGTCAAATGATTGTGATATGGTTCATTATTTTTTTTAAATCTTCTTTTTTATTTTAGAAAATATAATTTATGGTTATCCGCTCTTGAACATTAAATAAAAAGATCATGGGTTAATTAATCCCACCATCCACCAGACCACTCCATTTGACCACTACTGAAACTATAAAGTTATACACAATTATTATTTGTATTTCAACTTTGTGGTACCACAATATTATTAGTCTCGATAATATTAGAAGATTAATGTACATTTTTAAATTTATTATTTTATTTTTATTTTTTAGTTTAACAGTTTTGTTTTTGGTTTATTTTCAATATTTGGAATAGTTATGTCAAATATTGCATTAGTTTATTCAGTTTATTGTTAATATCTGCGAATATTTAAACGTATAAATAGACATGTAATGAGATAATGTCATATTTATAATAATTTTGCAACAAGAAATATTATGTATTTAGGTATTTTAAATRATATGTATTTAGAAGTATGTATGTAGGTAATTATGATTCGTTTATGAGTAACAATACTATGTGAAATTTTTGCACTTAAAAAAAGAAAATCCGCATAAAAGGCATATGCAGCTTAAGTGTACATAAAACTCGCGGTAGTGTTGTATTTTAATACATATTTTCTCGTAATAAATATTAATTATTACCATAGGTGCATGCATAGTTTATAAAAAAAAAATGCAATTTTTAAGAGAATGTCACTGTAACACATAAACTCAAATAATTGTGTTACAACAGTCAGATTTATATAAAAAGCAGTTTTTGAAATTCCTCGTTAAATTAACTTACGATCTACATATTACTAAATTTTTTTTTAGATATATAGATAATCGCACAGTAAGTAGTCTTGAGACTTCATTAAAGACGAATATGAGCCTAATCCAAATATTAGTTTATCGCTTAAAAACTGCATAACTGTCAAGTCTTAAAACTCCATGATGGTATTGTTACGCATTAATGACAAGTTGAAAACCATTTATAGTTTAATATAATTCAGATATTTGTGTGATTTGAATTTGGATTTTGATTTTGATTTATATTTTATTTGTTTTTATTCGCGATTGTAATATTTTATCTTAATCGATTGCAATTAAATACGTTGGTCCAAAATAAAAATAAAAATTATGCAGCATATTGATTCTACCCATCTGTCAAATTYAAATCCTAAATGTCTTATATGGATTCTCAACMAAAGTTAATACGAAAATTTAAATATTTTGTTAAGTCATTTGATAATTACTGTGGCATACCTTTTCAGAACGTTGGTGGTCGGATGGCTGGGACGAGCGGTTGGCCGATCCGTGATGGACGGTGCCGTTGAAGATGGCGGCTCGTCGATTGGCGGCAGTCCGTCGTAGTCTTCGTGCTCGTCACGACTATGGTTCAGCAGTCGGCCAGATGTGGCCGCTGATTCTGCGTTACCCGGTGGATCCGGTCGACCATTCATATCGGATGACGAAGCCGGAAGTTGGTGCAGGCGATGCTGCATCGACTTATTGTTGTCGTCCCSATCCATTTCRAWCTTYTCGTATCGGTCGAACGGATCGGCCTCGATATTGCCATTATCGAGTGGACTGGAAATTGGAACGCCACGAGAACTGGTCGGACTGCCTTTGGACCGGATGGCCAACCCGCACAGAAATATAAGGCAAAAGGACAGKACCAGTATAACACCGACGATGAGCCCTGGCAGGGCGTACCGGTCGGCGCCCAGTACCAGTTGTGGAGACCGCTTGACCACGACCACAGTAACGTTAGATCGGGAGCTACCAGACCGGTTCTCCAGCTCGCAAGCGTAACTGCCACCGTCCTGGGCGACCGCTGACACGATGGTGAGGTTCGTGTACCGGCCCTCAGTGACTGGTACGCTACGACCCGTCTGGCCCAGTGGCCGGTCGTTGCGCGTCCACCTGGACGACGGTATGGGCACACCGTACATGCGACACGACACGGTGGCGTTGTCGCCTTCGGTGACTACCACGACGGCCGACACGGGTACCGAGTGTGGTTCACAGGCGAAGTCATCCAGCTCGAGCTTGTCCCACGGCGTCTTGGCCAGCCGTACGGGTGTCTTGCAGACAGGCGGCGCACCGAACGGTACGTTCCGCCTGACCATCCACTCTCGGAGCGGTCGCAGTTTGCACGAACAATTCCACGGGTTGTCGTTGAGCTGGACGCCGTGTAGTCGGGCCAGCGACACAACCGTGGATGGCTTGACGTCTCGCAGCTGATTGTTGTCAAGCCGGAGCCACTCGAGCGAGTTCTCGAGGCCGGAGAACGCGGTGGACTCGAGCAGTGCCACTCGGCACCCCGACACGTCGAGCCGGACAAGTCGCGGGACGTGAGCGAACGCACCGTTGGGCACCTTCATGATCGGGTTGCCGTTGAGCCGGAGCTCTCGGAGTTCGGGGACCGACTCGAGTACGGCCGACGGAACCACCGGAATGCTGTTGTGGCTCAGATCCAGCTCGACGAGGTTGTTGAGCTTGCGGAACGCGTACCGGTCCAGTGCCTTGATCCGGCATCTGGACAGGTACAGCTTCTGCAAGTTGAGCAGGTCGGCATCGGCGAACGCGTCCTTGCCCAGCCTGTACAGCGGGTTGTCGTTGAGGTCGAGCAGTTGAGTGCCGTAGTCCAGGTGCCGTGGCACGRTCGTCATGTTTGCCGACGCGCAGATGGCCGACTCCTTGCCGCTTCGCCACTTGCACTCGCACGCCGCCGGRCAGTCTGCTCGCGCACCGCAAACCACGCACGCCCACAACATCAGCAGCACCACGATCAGTCCGCCGCCGGCCATCGCCGTCGCCGACGTCGGCGCCGGTGACGACGGCTTGCGATTGACGGGCGCCGCCGCGACGCGCTGCACCGACTCCTCCTCTCGTCGTCGCTTACGACCAGGGTCGCCGCGCCGGTCATAATGCAGTCCGCGAGCTGCAATCGTACCTGCGACAAAACAACCAAAACCCGATGATTTAGTACAGTGGTCAGCTAAAACTCAAATTACCAACGGGGCCATATATTTATGTGTCAGAGGTTCACGGGAAAAAACATTCTGCCGTAGACCTTTTACTTCTTTAAARATTGACAAATGGTCACAAATCACTTCATTTTTAGCTCATTATGATTACTACGAACGCTCTTAACGATAATAGGAAAATTAGTAACGAGTGATGTAAGAATAAAACATTACAAATTTTATTTATTACGATTTCAAACGTGTCAACGTTACCAATCGTTATGATTCTTCGCATTTCCTGATTATCAGTATTATAATCAGTGAACAGTGTTGGAGAAAAAATGTTTTTAATTTGATCTTATAGAAAAAAATTGACGTCTCGCTGACATAAATCAAATATTCTCTGAACATTTGGCCATTTATACAATCAACTGCGTTGAAAATTAAAACTATAAATTATAAATACATTTATATTACTTAATATTATTTATATCAAAAATAAATAATATAATTGATTATTTTGAAATTATTGGATTTGCTCATATTGGATAATACAGAAAAGTAATTAGTGTAATAAAATAAATAATGGTAATGTTGGCTAATATTACTGCAGTTATGTTTTATTAAAATTATAAGAAAAAAAAACCCACCATATAATGATTGTAGGTTAACATTGGAGCATAAAGTGCAGCTGGCTTTTATTTCACATTTTTAGATTCTGAGCGGAGCGAGGAATGTATTGGTTTTACAATGATGTTTATATCTTTTTTATTCTGTAAACACTTTTTCTCCCTCTAAACTTGCAAAAAAGTATCAAGTGTAGCATCTTTTCTGAAAGATAATGTTCTTGATCTGGTACTTTAGAGAGGTCATCTTTCGATTTTCGAAACGGTACTCGAAATAAAAGCGGTTAAAGAAGAAAAAACGTACGATTTCACGGTTCTATAATATTATTAAATAATTACGGACGACGTTTTTTTGTTTTTTTTTTTTGAAATTTTAACAATATAATTAATATAGTATAACATATCCTAGACTGATAAACTATCTCCACTCAGAATCGTTTTTCGTATACAATGATATTACATAATTGAATTCAAATTTAATACCACTCATTACAGTAACCCACTTGTAACCTACTATACTGCAGAGCGACATCCACTTACTTACACGATTTTTTTTTTTTTTGGAGTTATACATTTCTAAAATACCGGGAATTTAATACAACCTAACCTATAAATTTACCAAAAATATATTTACCAGGCATTTTCCCATCATCGCTACCATCACGTGACTTACAGTGTTATAGCCTACAACTGCAGTAGCCTTGTTTGTGCGGTACATCTGATTTAACTCGTATTATATCAAATCATATACATTATTATTACTCTTTTCACCACGTGTGATACTTATTATTATTATACGAACGTACGTTAAAGCACTTTCTGTAGGTACCTAGTTTCGAAAATTCTTAAAAAAAAAAAACGTGCGAAGCAAGACATTAAAAATACGAGAGCTGACAAAAGAAAGACGACGAGTAAATGTATGCCCGTGTGACAATAATTAAGATGATAACGATTTTTCTCCGTCTCCACAGCCTCTGATGCTGCTGCAGTGCGTGGTTGTTTGTGCCACCGCCGCCACAACCGGGCTACCGACTCTGGTTCGAACCTGACCTAACCGCATGTCGCACGTACCCGTACAATATGTACCACACGGATATATTATATATATATATATAACTTGGCGCGATGGCGGCTCGAGAGAAAAGAACATTTTGTCTCTTTGCCGTCTGTACTATCATACCTTATAACGACCTACCTATATCATATTCGCACTATTGTAAAATTGTAAAATTTAAATAATACAGCCGTTGTCCTGTTTTATATATACGCTTTTAAATACCACCGAGTCGACGAGGGTCGAGGACCACCGATCTCTGCGGAGAATAGAACATATTATTATTAATATTATTATGCCTATACTTGCAGCTACTGCAAGCGATCGTTAAAATATTTTCTCAGCAGGTCTTCTGYCATCAGCTTGGCCTCGTTTCTGTGCAAATTCGACCTACAGTAGTCGACGACCGACATTCCTCGCGATTATTCTATACGACCATTGATTAATTTTTTCAACTCGACTAATTGAAATACATTTTTTTTTTAAATTTAAATTATAATTTTTTAGTAAGAAGTAAAATAACAAAAAAAAAAAAATAATAAAGCTCTACGAAAATGTTTTGCGAAACCAACGAACCTCATTAGAAGAGGACTCGCTCAATTTTGGTCGTATATATAGTAAAAATCATTAAATTAAATTCTAAAATTGAATGATTGTGAAAGTATTTCCCGTGGCAAGACGATGCGTTTAAAAAAAAACATTTAAATTTCGAAAGTTAAAGGTCATTTAAAAATATTGAAAATATGTTCGCTATTTTTAACGGAATAACATAACGGACGATATATTGCAAGGAATCGTGAAAAAACGCACCGTCTTGACTTTGGAAATATTATCACAATTTAATTTTCTTRATAAATATATCGTATGTGCCGTCTATTCATAATCCACAAATATATGATCTGCTGATGATTTGAGTTTGAGACCTTAGCACCATATCCATATAAGGCACAAAAGTGTCTGAGATTT